ATTATTTAAAAATATATTTATAGGGGATGAATTTTTGAAATTTTACCTATGTATTACAATAGAAAAAAGGATAAAATAAAATGTTCTGCTTAAAAAGCAGGGGGCACTTACCACTTCCGGTTTTGAATTCGAATTCCTTGAAAACATTGATCCCATTTTTGATGTAGTATAACTATATTTTTCACTTATTCTTCTCTTCATAAAACTCATTTACTTTTTGCCACTTATTTAAACTATAACCAGTGTTACGAAATTACTGGTAAAAAAAGTAATCTATGTTTTTTGCAATTATTCACTAAGTACCTCATTCACAACTTAATTAAATATATTATTGAAAAAGTATGAGTGCGTAGTAACCAACGTTGTTAAGGGCAGTCAAATTTTTTATCATGGCTAGATATTTTTTTTTGTTTCAAAAAGAGTATAAAATGACATTTGTAGACCGTGTTTATTAATTTTTGATTGTTTTGTATAATACAAACATGGCGTCGTAACAACTTGCTGAAGTACCTAAATAAGCATCCGCGTTAACTAATTGAGTCGTTTTTTTAGTTCTAAATTATTTCAGTTAATTATGCGCTTACACATTTGCATGTGTCTAATAAAATAGTATTTTAATAGGCTACCTTGTCAATACGAAAAATTTAGAAATATTCTCATATCATATACGTAACTAGGTACATAATAATGTGAATGCACATTTTTAATTAATTTTGGTGTGCCACAATTTTTTATTTAATATATCGGTTATTTCGTAACATACTTTTACATAATCCAAATTTTTAAAAAACAAGTTAGAACAGGATTAGGATTAAATTGGCTTAAATCAGTTTAAACCAGTTTTGACTTGAAACAAACTAAATGCTTATGGACGCCATTATGTTTTTTTTTCTTTGCTACATTTCCACACTAAACAAAGTTCATTTACAACTTAAAATCTATGTATATAAGTTTAATTAACCTATATCTTATAATATAACTAATAGTCAATAAATAATATAATTAAATACCATGAATTGGGTGTAAAAAATTCGAATTACCTAAACGCCAAGATGGCGTAGGCAATCAATAATGTAGAACGTTAAAAACACTTACATGCTTTTGCATTCTAGTAACATTTAGAACAACCTGCTGAATATTGTGCAGACAAGATAGGTATTCGGTTTGAAAAGGCGTAGATGTTGGATCTTCCATTTTTGCTTTTTTATTTTTTAAGCCAATTTTCAGAAACACATTCGAAATGATACGTATTTTTATAACGTTGCAACCTTACGCCTCGTGGTCCTCTTGCCTACTGAATTTGCTTAATATATTACTACTGCCAAAACCCATATTAAAATGGTGTGAGTGAACAATAGAATGCGAAAAAGAGTACCATAGAATATTATTGTATAACTAAAAAAGTTTTCTGTTTTTGAAAGTTATATTTAATTAACGTTAGTAGATACAAACAGTATCATTTTAATTATGTACTACTTAATTTGTATTGTCATTAGCGGAAAAAGATCTTAATGATGTCATACACGTTAAGAATTATTTTTATAGGTATTATTTTAATCGATTTCAAGGATGACTTCAGGAAGTTATAAGTCCTAGAGTCGTTGAGGAACTGCAACTTAAGGGACCAAACTATATTTGACACGAAAATAGTTATCTTCCAGAATAGGTACTACTTTCTTATGTTTCAAACGTAAAAATTTAATCTTTTCAAAATTACCAATTTTCGGGGCTTCCTACAAGACCTGAGATCGAGGAGTTCCCCCTTCCCTATTTCCTCTGGTCAGCTTAGGCTTTTTTTGTTTAGGATTTTTTTAGGACACCCAAAATATTGCTCGATCCTGTGGTTCAAATCAATTTTAATTTGTATGACATAAATGCGCGGCAGGGTGTCGTAAGATGACAAGTGTTTCTATGAAAACGGGTTCTTGCGAAATCGAAGCAAATAGTTCATAATTTTAGCTCCTTTTTAACCAATTTTCAAATTTGGACGCCCAAAATTTCGTTCATTACAGTGCCTCAACCAATTTTAATTTGTATGACATAAAAGAGTGTCGTAAGATGACATGCGTTCTAATAAAAATATGTTTTTTTGAAATGGAAGGTAGTAATTCATAATTTCAGCTTCTTCTAAACTAAATTTCAAATTAGGACTCCCCAAAATATTGCTCGTTCCCGTGGTTCAAATCAATTTTAATTTGTATGATATAAATGCGCGGCAGGGTGTCGTAAGATGACAAGGGTTTCTATGAAAACGTGTTCTTGTGAAATCGAAGGAAAAGTTCATAATTTTAGCTCCTTTTTAACCAATTTTCAAATTTGGACGCGCAAAATTTCGCTAATTACTGTGCCTCAACCTATTTTAATTTGTATGACATAAAAGAGTGTCGTAAGATGACTTGCGTTCTAATAAAAATATGTTTTTCTGAAATCGAAGGAAGTAATTCTTAGTTTTAGCTTCTTTTAAACTAATTTCCAAATTAGAACCCCCAAAACATTGCTCGTTCCCGTGGTTCAAATCAATTTTAATTTGTATGATATAAATGCGCGGCAGGATGTCGTAAGATGACATGTGTTTCAAAGAAAAAGTGTTTCTGCGAAGTAATTCATAATTTGAGCTCCTTTCTAATCAATTTTCAAATTTGGACTCAAATTTGGTGGCTTAACCAATTTTAATTTGTATGACATAAAATAGTGTTGTAAGATGACATGCGTTCTAATAAAAATATGTTTTTCTGAAATCGAAGGAAGTAATTCATAGTTTTAGCTTCTTTTAAACTAATTTCCAAATTAGGACCCCCAAAATATTGGTTGTTCCCGTGGTTCAAATCAATTTTAATTGGTATCATATGAGGGTGTCGTAAGACAAGTATTTCTACTTCTTTTAAACTAATTTTCAAATTAGGACGCCCAAAATATTCCTCGTTCCTGCGGTTCAAATCAATTTTAATTTGTATCATTAAATGATCGGAAGCGTGTCGTAAGATGACATGTGTTTCTACGAAAATGTGTTTTTTCGACATCAAAGGAAGTAATTATTATTTTCTGCTCCTTTTTAACAATTGTTTTAATTGGGATGCGTAAAATTTTGCATTTTATTGTGAAACAGGCCAGTCTTAATTTTTGTGATATAATTACACGGCAGGGTGTTGTAAGATGACATGCTTCTAACGAAAATATTGAAGGAAGTAATTTGTAATTTCAACTCATTTTTAACCAATTTTCTAATATATATTTCAACTATTTTTTTCTATTATTTTTCTCTTCATTATAAAAAAAATAATAAGTACTCGGCTATCTTTTACACTAACAAAACATCAAATACATGAAGTATGTATGTATTATTATTTTAAAAATTGCATTTTCTACACATCAGTTCATGTCACGTTGCATAAATCGTTTGATTTCTTTGGTTACGTAAACAATGATTTTTCACTAAACTCAGTAAATGTTCATTAATTTTTACATTCACATATTATTATTATTTCACAACCAATTACCAATGCGTCATTTTTTAAAAAATTTAGGTATTTAACACACCATTCATATGATACTGCATCACCTCGGTTTTACTCGCGGCTTCGCCCGTGTTTATGTCCTAAATATGTGTCAAAAATCATCAGCGACCACATAAAACTAATTTTTCTATCCCTCGGGAACAGTACAGTTTTTCTAGATAAAAAGTATCGTATGTCCTTTTCCGTACCCCTGACAATATGTGTACAAAATTTCATGACAATCGGTTAAGTGGTTAAGTCGTGAAATGGTAACAAACTGACATTCCCATTTATAATATTATTTAGGATCACAAAAAAGTTTTAAAATCGTTTCCTGCACTTACGTGTTGGTAAACTGTTGTAAACGAATTTGTTATAGTTCTAGACCCCTATCATGCAATATTTAACAACACACACACCTTTTCCCTGATAGTTTTTAAAATTAATTAATATGATACCTTTCCTATAAATTACCTACTACTGGTGATAAGTATAGACTTACCATTGTAATATTTTTTCAACTGAAACCACTAGTAATACAATTCAACTTTATACTGCTATGAAAGAATGTCATAAAAAGAGGCCTTTTAATAACAGCAAAAGTAACTCTCTTGTTGTGTTTCAACGTCATCAGCAGTTTAATTAGTAATTTGATCTGTTTAAATTTGCAGCGTCATTAAGACTTAAAAAAAAGTGTGTAAATGCTTACTACTAACTATTAACTTTCGTAGCACCTGTAAATACTCCATTGTGAAACTTAAGGGACCGTTTTTTTTTTCGTTGCCTAAAGGTTTTCGTACCTATGTAGAGAATCAAATGTAAAATGGAAGTTTTCATAAATTAATTAAATTGTTATGTTATTGTATTGTCAGTTGGGTGATATACAGGGTGTAAAGGGACAAATAAAATCGTAAAAGAAAACAGACGAAGTTGGAATTCGAAGTCGGCCCTAGGCGTGATTTGACAAAGGACGGACAAATTGCGCTAACAGCTAAGGAGTTACATCGATAGAAAATGTAGACAGTGACGGTTGTGTTGTGTAAAGTAAATACCAACAGCTTGCTACTAAGCCACTACACATAATAATAATCTTTAGACGCCCATTGCGATAACAATTAATTAAATAACATTTTGTTACTATTTTGCACTGACCTATGACATTGACACATTGACCTACTTCTAATGACTTCGACTGCCACATACGTACGTAATACGAACCTATAGAATAAATAACTACTCTCATTTGGCTATAAACATAAACATCACCAATCACGCTTAATCTAATCTGACAAACGCCAAACTATACATGAGCATAAATTAAAAAAATATACAACACGGATGCTGCTAAGTAGAAGTTGATTAAATGCGGCGTTGCGATGTCGTACTTTCTTGAGTCCATACCAAACATTTACTTAATTTGCCCTGTCACCTCCTGCAAGCTTGCTACTTATTTCAGAAACACCCTGTATATCACCAGACTCGTTAAGTGATGAGTCAAAAAGGTCAATTCTGGGGAAATATCGGGTAATTTCTGGAACACGATGGACTATGAAAAGAGATATCATACCTGCATTAATGCAACTTTTGTTTTATTTTTTTAAAACACTTCAATGTTACAAAATATTCATTTTTTTTTTTTCAAGTATTTCCTTTCTATAGTCTAACATAATGATTGTATTGACGAAAATTCAATATAACAGTTGTAGACAATCCAAAATCGTCTAATTTCAACCGTAAATGTTCAATTTCGTTGAACAGTTGTTTCAATAATGACGAAAAACGGTTGCAAATATTTTTTTATAATTGCAATGTTTGTTGCAAAAATAATTTCTTCATATCTTTAAGACACTGATGTGAGATCATCTCAATTCTTAGTCGAATAAAACTTTGTAGATCTCGATCAGTCAAATTTCTTGCTGATATAATGTATGTTAATTTGTTTATCTTTTGGCGTTAAATGATTATTTCTCCAGATTAAAAAAAAAAAAGGTAGAACCTCTTTTCAGGCCTTTTCTTTTAGGCCTCACTCTCAAATGTCACCGTATTCATTTCGTAATAGTTGTAATTAAAGCGGAACTAAAAAAATTATCGGAACTAGGTTCTTATTCGTCGTAGAAAATCTTTAATCTTTGTTTTAATGCCAGCTTTCAGTGTTTTTAAGTTAGAAATGCGTATAATGAGTAGCTCTAAATGTTTGTAATACAAAAGTACTCTCCCTTTTTAGAGGAATGAACTAATTAGGAGTTGTGCATTAATCAGTAGGAAGAAGACGCCCACTCTGGGGAGAGGGTAGCACTCAGGGATGGTAAATGTAGACCATCCCGATTTAATAACTTCTTTCTAGAAATTTGCCATACACGAACTCAACAAAATAAAATCCGTACACCTCCACGTTAATGTTTCTTATTTCTATTGATAATAACTTACTAAATATTGTTAAAATTAAAATTTGTTTAAATAATGTCTTGGTAACTACCTACTTACTTGGCAGAGAAGAAGTGATGATGATGCATATCAAATAACAAACTACGTAGACGCACCACGTACCTACTTACTTAATAAGTAAAACACAAGGGTTACTTTACTTCGTTATTCTTTCGAACTCAAAACTGTACATACTAATGAACTTTATATTGTCCTGTTTATATTTGGTACTCTTTATTACGAATTTTTGGAAAGTGTCATTAACTTCAGGGATACATTCCAAACTAATGGTAAATCGAACATTTCTCATTAATGATCCAATTACTTAACACGTCCGATTACTAT